ATATATATCATAGTGAGCTCAGGAAATGAACATCTAATGGCACACAGGCCTATTATGTCATGTACAAGTGAGATTGATGGTGTGGAAAATTAGAACTAAAAGCAGTAATTCTAAAAACAATCTAAATTGTTTTTAAAAAAATGCTTCCTCAATATTTTTGTGTAGTTCAGAGCATAAACCTGCCATGATACTTGGCACTACACTAATATATTCACTCCTCCAGAATGTTTGCAGTAACAGATTTGTGCAATCTGTACCTTAAACATTTGCTTAATGTATGAATTTTAATTCTAATGCCAGTAGCAGGTTTAACCATGGTTTATGCTCTGAAAATGCAATAATCAAGTATTTTGGATCATGCTTCACCTATGCTACAAGTTCTTAAAACAATGTAACCTAATTGTAAATGATTACATAATGCTAACTGACGTGCAAAACAGAATGAAAATTTACAATGGGGAACGTGACAAAAACAGACATTTCTGACCAGTGGACCAATGAGGCTGATTACACATTACACTTTCGATGCTGGTATCCTTAGTCCTACAAGGCCTCCAGTGGGATTGCCTTCTGCAGTCTTCTCTAACACTTGGTTAACAAATTCGGAAGTTTGCCCGGCAACTGGGAGACCTGAAGGGATAAAAAGGAACACTTATAACACAGAAATGGAGAGTACCTAGGTAAAAAGAAAGAAGTACAAAATATCTGAGTCAGGTGTGGCCCTCAGCTTGATGTGAGTTCAAATGAGTGCTGTTGCTTATTATTGCAGCCCAGAAAATCGTTCTGCCCCATTAGATTCATGTCTATAATTTTAAAATTAGAGGAGTTAAATCAAACCAAGATAAATATTAAAGATGTTACTCAACATTGAAAGTGGGATAGCCAACAAGGAGTAACAAACCAGAGTCAGAGGTACCTCTCTCTAAGCCCAGAAACTTTTCTTTCCTGTTTTTTCAGCCAGCTGCTTTTGATTGCTCTAATTCACATGTTCCATGAGGGAAGGCGGGAGGGCTCATCTAACACAAATGAAACTATGTATTCAGATTTTATATAATTATTTTTTATTTGTTTATTAATTTTATTGAGAAACAAACAGTAATGAGACAGTTTCAAAACAGGATAGTAGGACAGTTACAATAATACATTGCATATTGTTGTCTTCGTAGTAATTATTCATAGTACAAGATGTAGACATGATATCCTGTCCAAACACTCTAAGTACAAATCCTTCTCATTGAATTAAGAGAAAGTAGCTGTATATCTATTCTAACCATTCTGTAAATACAGATACAAAATGGTCCTTCATTCTCTTAATTCAATGAGAAGATTTGTACTAATAGTGTATGGACAGGATATCATGTCTGCATCTTGTACTATGAATAACTACTATGAAGACAATAATAAGCAATGTATTAATTATTGTAACTTTCCTACTAGCCTGTTTTGAAACTGTCTCATTACTGTTTCTCAATAAAATAAAATAAAAAAACCCAAATGGTCCCTTCACTTATATCCCCCTTTTTTGTTTAGTTTTGTCAGAGATGGGTATTCCATTGCCATTCAAATATTGTAGGTGCATGAATTCAGCAAAATAATCCAATACAGTCCAGTAGTACATAATATTAATGGGTTATCTGTAGGATTGGCAATGTCAGAAGTTTGATTTGAGTCTTTTACAGCTCAGCATATTAATATGGCTTTACTTTTTGTATCTCATTTTTATACTTTTCTGCTGGATGGTTAAGACCAAGATAAAGCAAGACCTATATAACAAGAAATGTAACTTTTGTATCTGACAAGGTCAGTCAAATCCCTTCAGAATTTACCCTGAAACCCTGTACCACAGTTTGTAGATCCTTTGTCAGTGTCAGCCATGTGGATGAGTCACGGCCATTGCTTGGCCAATGTGCTCTCTGTGAAAGCCTGAGAGAATGTTTTCTCTCCATGTGACTCTCCTTAGGCACACTCTGTATCACTGATCACTTTCCTCTATGGCCCCATAATCTCCTTGATCAGAAAATCTGGGACACCACTTAGTTACAGAATGTCACAGCACAGGTTCTCTTATGTCCTGAGTCCTCACTGACCTTGAAAGGCTATGGCCAAAGTGTTGGCAGTCCTTGCAACTTTTGGATCACATTCCAAAAATTGGAACTTGGAAGGAAAAAGAACTTGCAGCCTTTCTTCTTCTCTAATTTTTGGTCTGCAAACTTAAGTTCTCTTATGATAAACTAAGAGAAGCTTATCATAATTACCCTACAATGTAGGCAGCTGAGCTTAGCCACACTACCTGTCTGAATATCAAACATCTTATTTTCCATCAAGTATTGATATGTTAGACTTTAAGTCCCTACAGAATATGAAGGCATTCCAAGCATGGCCCTAGGATTACACATTGCTATCTTCAGTGCAGTTGCTTAATTCACAGGCATCAGCATATATAGTTAGGGTGAGAATCCTACCAATTAACTGCTAATTTCAAAAACCTGATCAAGACTCTCAGGATCATTGCCTAAATGTATGGTTTTGCCCCGTCATGCTTCCTAGCTTTTCTCCTGACCCTCTTTTTGTTTAATCCTGAAGTTCTCTCTTTCCTTTTAATTGTGTTATACCTTTCTATTTTTATTTCTTCTTTTGAGTTCTTACACTAGGGAGACTGTATGGTATTTGCACATGTAGGTCTGGTGTTTCCTTTTTCTTCATTTTGAAGAAAAATGATTAAGAAAATGTAGACCAGAAGAGAGAGAAAAGGTGGGAGAAGCATAAGCACAATAGTTCTCTTTTTTCAAGTATGATGATATTCTCTTATCTTTCTCATCTTCTATAAAAAGGCCAAAGGTAATCAATAAATCAAATAATAAAGATATAAGTTTAAAGCCAGGTGTAGTGATGCATGACTATAATCTCAGTGAGGCAGAGAATTATGGTGATTTCAAAGCCAGCCTGGACTACACAGTGGGTTCAAAGCCAGCCTGAAATAACAGTGAGACCCTATCTGCAAAAAACCCCCAAAACATACATATATATGTATCTTTTTAAAAATGTGTTAAGGAAATAGGAGTGTGAAAACAGAAATACATTCATTTAGTCACTGCTCACAGGTAGAAATATACAGATACTACAAAAAATACTGCTATTACTTTATCCATATGGCCAATGGGACAAACTGATATTATGTCCTCCTGAGCTAATAGAATAAGGATATATTAAGAATACTTTCTAAAAATTTCAGCTTCATCTTGTCAGGAGAAAATACATAAATATAAATGTTGGAACATTTTAGAAGATCTATCACAGGGACTTTTTTTTTTTAAAGATAGGATCTCACTATGTAGCTTTGCTAGCTTTCACCTCACTACATAGTCCAGGTTGGCCTTGAACTTGTGGCGATCCTCCTGCTTCAGCCTCCCAAGTACTAAAAAAAAATTGAAGGAGACAAAAAGAGAGGTAAAACGCAATGCTTGATCTTCAAATGGATCATTAAAAAATATATATATAAAAAAGGCTGGAAGGCTAAGGAGATAGCTCACTAGAATAAGCACTTGCCTGGCAAGTGCAAGGGCCTGAGTTCAATTCCCAGTTCTGCAAAAAAAAAAAAAAAAAAAAAAAAGAAGAAGACTGGAGATATAGCTCAGTGGCATAAATGCCTGCCTGCCAAGTGTAAGGTCCCAAGTTCAATCCCTAGTACTGCAAAAACAAACAAACAAAAAGAGAGAAGAAAGTTATAAAGGACATTATTGATACAACTTATAACTTATGGCTTTAAACTTATGTAAAACAGCCTCCAAAGTATATATGGCATTTTATCAATATTCAACTACTTGGATATAATATCAGTGTTGTGAATGAAAATAATATCCCTGTTTTCAAAAGATTTGAGCTAAAATAGCTAGGAATAAAATATTATATTTATAAATCACCTTTAAATAAACCCCCATCAATACATATGCACACAGAAACAAAACACAGATGTAGCAAAACATTAACAACTGGTGGACTGAGCTGAAAAAATGTAGATATTCACTACACTACATTTTTTTTTTAACAGTTTCCATAGTGTAGTGGTTATCATGTTTGCCTCACACTACTCTATTGTTCTACAGTGAGATCTTACCTGGAAAATTGAGAGAAAAAGGTAAATATATATTTTAACTCACTTAAAATGCAACCCACAGACCAAAACACCAAGTGGCAAATTATCAAATAGCACACATAAATGTAAAGCCTTAATAAGGGATTATGCAGTGAACAATTATAAAAGGTCATATAAACAAACCAGATCTTTTGATGACAAAAACTAAAACTAAGCATGAATTATGTCTATATTAAAAATAAGCTGAAAAATAAGCTGAGGAGTGACTGAGACAATCCAGGGCTGCAGGATCTTCAATAGACCCAGAGCACAGGCCCAGTGAGTGAGACCGCCCGGGGGTGCTGATCCCGGAATAGACCCAGAGCGCAGGCCTGACGCGGAACCCTTCAGTAGAACTCCCTGTAAAGAGGCTAGAGGCAAGACCCACCCAGCTGATTCAGGAGCAGAACATCTTGCCAGAGTGACACAAAGGGTTCAGCTCCAATGGTTGCAGCAGAAAAAAGTGGAGATCAGCAGCCAGACCCCAGCCAGATCTAAGCAACACCCACCTGGAGGAATCTGAACTTCATAGATCTGGATCTGGTGCTAAGGTAGTAACTCTATCTAAGCTCTACACCAAAGATCAGAAGACAGTGGTATACAAAATGACAAAGAGAAGGAACAAAATGCAGTCGACACTAGCATAGAGGAAACTGGAAATCACAAACCTGAAATCTCTGAAATAACAGCATTGGAAGTAAAGAAACAACTGTAGAAAGGTATAGAAGAAATCAGATCAGAAATAATTTCAGAACTAAAAAATGTAGTGATAACTATAATCAAAGAAGTACTAAGTGCTTCAAAAGAATACACTGATAAAAAAAAAGATCAGAATATAAAAATGATGGAACCCCTAAATAAGCAATTTAGGAAAGAAAGAGAGTGTATGAAACAGATTCAAAGTGATATACCGGAAGTTAAAACCTCAATCACAAACTGGCAAAACCGTTTGAATAAAAGTGAAAATAGACTTTCTGACCTTAAAGACACCACTGCAGCTAGTGAAAAAGAAAAGATCTCTTAAAAAACAACTAGAATGCAGGAAAAAATAATTCAGTACCTGCAAGATGATGCAAAGATGACAAATGTTGAGACTAATAGGCATCAATGAGAAGGAAGGAGTCAATACAAATGATATAAGAAGAGTATGTGCAGAAGTAATAGCAGAAAACTTCCCAAATATGGGGCAACAATCTGACATTCACTAACCAAAGCATATAGAACTCCAAATAACACCAACCCAATTAAAAACACACCCAGACATATAATAATCAAGATCCCAGAAATTCAGCACAGAAACAGTATACTAAAAGCCACTAAAGAAAAGAAACAGATCACATTTAAAGGAAAACCCATCAGAATAACGGCAGATTTCTCTTCACAAAACATCAAGTCAAGAAGATCATGGAGCATAGTACTTCAAGTCTTGCAAGAAAACAAATTCTAACCCAGACTGATATATTCTGCAAAACTCTCAAGTATAATGGAGAAATGAAAT